GTACTTAAATCGTTTTATTATAGCGTTGGCAAAAGTTAAACTTTTTGATCAAACTAGTGGCATTCTTAAGTATAATAAAGGAATTGAATATGCGTAAGAAGAAATTTTAATCGAAAATTGTTTAAATTCTTATTTACTTTTTTTCACAATTTTTTAGATACATTGCGCTTACTTTATTAACAGCTTATATATTGGTTTTACAAATTCTTTATTCAAAATATTTTCGCTCAAAACTTATAATTTTTAATTTTTAGCAATTAGCTTACATTCGATATTTTGTTATTTACTGTTAAGAAATGAAAAACTTTAGGTATCTTACTACTTTGCTGAATCTATTTAAATTTTTTTTCTATATATATTAATACTCAATTTGAAACACTTCTAGAACTATTTTTATAATCTTATTATTTCCGTGGTTTATTCTACCAAGTTAGTTCTCATATAAATAAATTTGAGTCTCATTTGATAAAACTAATTTTTGATTTAATTTTAAAAGTCGTTTATACAATCAGAACTATACACGATATTGATCCTATCCCATTTATTTGTTCATCAAATTATCCATATGCATTCCGGATAATCGAAACAGCGTGTAAAATTCAAGCTGCAAATTCTATTTGTATGTGGATGTATTTAACTTTATAATAATGTTAATAATTATTTGCATTGGTGATAGATTTTTTAATAACAATAATAGTACAAAAAAGGATATTGGTTATCCAGTATTTATGAGTTCGTCTAGTATAATAGAAAATAATGTCTAATAAAATATATATTTAATTTCCTTAAAAAATTTTTTTATTTACTTGAATAAACTAGCAGTTTGTGGGTTTAACTCCAAGTGTTAATTAATGCATGCAAGATATTATCAAAAAGAAAATAAAAATAAAAATAAAAATAAGAAAAAAAGGTAGCAGGCTTTATTGTAATTGGTTGTTTTTTGTAGATCATCCCGTGATATTGCGAAACATATTATATGAAACTATAGAAATACATTTTAAAAAAATTAATCCCTTAATTTTTCAAAACTTATATCTCGATGAATTTTGAATTCGAAAGAAAGCTAGTTCTTATTTTCGTCTGACAATCTAAAAAAAAGTATAAATAAAGATGAAATAACTTCACTCACTTTCTTAAAACAAAATGGATGATCGAATTTCCGCATCAGACTCCATAATTGTTAAAGAAATAACTATATCCTTATCTGGAATAACTAATATGGGCTGCGTTCAGTCAATTGTGAATGCCTTGCAAAGACCTAATAGTGTAATCGTCTATGATGAATATGATGAACCAATGATCAGCATAGAAAAGATTAAAAAAGTCGTTGAGGATGCTATACTGTCGCACTCCATATAAACACCTACTTCGTTTTCATAAACACTTTTATTTCTTGAACCAACTATTAAACATTCGCTATAAAAGCACATTTTCTATAAAGAACACTTTAAGCACAGCCAAATCTATTTTTCCACATGATATAATAACCAAGTACATTTTCTATAGGCAAATATTTACATTTATTATATACAAATGTTAAAAATTATGTGTGTTTTGACATAAATTTGATGCACTAGTATTATTCAGCTACTGTATTCACTTACAGACAAAATTCTGAAAGAACATAATACTGGCAAAATTAAAAGGAATTATAATACTGGCCGATTTAGTCGGTATTATGTTCTATCAGAAAATTCTTTTGGAGTTTCTTGTGATCATATTTTAACAGTGTTAGTATAAATTTTTATAGTAGCATTATAAATAAATAATTGTTTCTTTTTTAGTTAGTCCCTTGTTTTAATTGAATCCTTTTCCCTTTTTTAAAAATAAATCACTTTTTTGATTAATTAATTTTTATTAATTAAATTTCTTTTTTAATTTCCAACCGTGATAACTTTTTGATAACTACAAAATTTATGACGGCAAAAAATTATTGTTATATACTTTAAGCTATACAAATTTAATTACTTAGTTTTCATAAACTTTTAAATAGACCCGGCCAGTAGGCTTTTTTTTTAAATTTCGTATATACAATTTATATAAAAAAATTTTTTAAAACCCACCTGGTTATTACAGCTGTTTTCATTAATTTTGGAACATCTAGTAAAAAATTGACCGAATAATTATTTGGCCGATTCGATAAGTTTTTGATTTGGACGTGTTTAGTAATATAGCGAGCAATTGTATTCTGAATGATCCTACAATGTCAACACATTAATTTTTCACTTGAATGTATGTCCAGTATGTTTAGTGTGTTTAGTCTGTCCGAAAATTTATGAAGATTGATCTTGCCAAAACAACAGATTTGACAAAAAACAAAAAGGGTTCTGAATATAATATAAACTTTCATAATAAATATATTATACAAGGAGTCGCTAATAAAAATTGTTCGATATGAACAAGAATATATTTACCGGACTAAAAAAAATATAACTCAAGTTATAATAGTTATAATTTCAAGCAACCAAGTTTTTATTAATATTTGTCAAAACTGCATTGAAAGTTATAAACAAAATCATAGTAATAATCTATAAAAGTATTTCATTTATTTATATAATATAATTTATAATAAATTTTTAAAATATAGACCAAAAAGTGAATCTGCATAAATCAGATGAAAAATTGAAACGGTTGATTTAAGGAACTATTAGCTTGTTCGTCTATAGTAAACATTCTAAAAACGCTTAGCTTGTCTGAAATAATTGCTATTGAAACTGAAATATCCAACTTGTCTGAAGTAATAGCAACTAAATCTAATATAATCTGAAGTGCAAAAATAGTAATATCGATATATTTATCAATGTCATTAGAAAGATATGCACATAACGTCAATTTTTTACCAGATGTCTCAAAATTAATGAAAACAATTGTAAAACATATAAGAATTTTTTTTCAAATTTTGACCCGGCTGGGTTATTAATTAATTTTGCATGGCCTTATTAGTAAAATAGAAAGATTTATTAGAAAGTATTCTTTTGTTTTATTATTGGGTTTCAATTGTTTAATTAAAATTCTATTCTATATAACTTAAAGAGAATTAGAATAAAATTAATCATTATTTTCTTACATTATAACTGAAATAGAGTCGTATCCGGTTAAAAATAAAAGTAACGATATAATTTATAGACACTTTACAAATAAAGTTTATGAAAATTTGGAGGGCCTCATATTAAATAACAATTTTGCAAATAATTTTTTTATTTTATTTTTGTAGATAAACATTCAATATAAAGAAAATTGTTTGCAAAATGGACCTTTTTAATCTGAGATACGATATTGTTGTTTACTCTAAATAATTGATTGAAAGAGCACTGAAAGACTTTTAAGTAAATGTTGTTTTCTTGTTTTATATTTACATTTTAAGTTTTTGGATTTGAATTGCATTCTTAGTCTTTCGGACTGTAGCTTATATCGCGATTTTTCATATTCTGATAGTTTTTTCCATTTATTCCCTGCGATTTTTGAAATTTGACGAGTGTCTATATTTGGATTATCTTTAATTATTTCATCTTTTATTTTATTTCTGAATAATAAAAAAGAGTTTTGTGGACGCTTAACAGGATTATAGATCAATGCTGGAACACGTATATTTAATTCTGGAAATTCCTTGATTGTTTTCAAATTTTTCGTGACTTCTTTACTAATAAGAATTGGTGAGTAACCTGGAGGGATAAAAACTGATATTCCATTTTTACATTTAATTGGGTAAACATCAGATTCTTCAATCGAAATAAAATTGGAATTCATTATCATTATATTTATTATTTCAAAAAAACAAAATTTATATTATTAATAATTTATAAGTATTGTTAAAATATAGAGTTAGTTGGGAGTAAATGTATCAGATCGAATTAATTCCAATGTGCTTTAATATTAAATGCTTGCTTGCATAAGATAAATTGCAAGGTATTCTTTATTCTAGTTTTAATCTTTTGCTTGTTGCTAGCTTTATATTTATTTCAAATTCTTGCTCAAAAATTGACCATATTATAAATAATACACCAATATATTTAATTTAGGATTTTATTAAATTTACGCTATTAGATATTTATAAACAATTAGTATTTTAAATTTGTTAATATCTTCTTTAGTAATTTATTATTAATTTGATACAAACACTATGTTTTTTGGTATTATTGATTAATGAATTGATTTGTTTTAAATTTTAGTAAACTTTTCAATAGATAGTTAGATTCATTTCATCAAAACTTTATAATTATAGGAATTGCTTTTTTTTTTAGTAGAGTGTCCAGAATTCTTCGTTGTATAATTCTGCTCGCTCTAAAAATATTTTTTTGTATTGTATTTGGGTTTAAAAAATGATTAAAATCACGTTTATCTTATGGAGACAATACAAAAAGATATTTTTAGAGCAAGCAGAGTTATGCACCACAGAATTCTGGATACTCTATTTTTTAGTTCTGGAAATTCTTGGAAAAATGCCAGATTCTTCAATCGAATGAAACTATTAGAATTCATTATGTTTAATAATTTTTAAAGAAGAAGTAAATTTTAATTTTTAGGTCCCATTACTAAGCTCAATAATTGATTAATTTACAATTAAAAAATTTAATATGAAATTCAAAAACTTACTATTAAATACATGAAGGTTTTGGTGTTGCTCTTTAGACAACAATTTATTTAATATTAATATGTAAAGTAATGAAAAATTAATTTAATACACTAATGATCTTGGTGATGACGAACTTTTTAAATGAAATAGTAATAAAATGTGTATGCGATCCAGAAAAAATCATTAGTCGTGATGACTTTTCTGTTGATTTTTGGTAATAAGTGAATACCTTATGGCATACTTTCAACTTTGATTTATAACGTTGACTACCCTTTTTTTGATTTTCTTTGCACAAAACCATTCAGCAATTATTTCTCTCAAAAGAAAAATTTAAGAATATGATGAAAAATTGAAATCGCAAAAAAATATAACAATTTGAGCAGCGATCAATTTTTTTAGATCCCCAACAATATTAGTTGGTGTTGGATTTCTTGATAGAACTGATGTTGTACTTGAATACAAATCACTAAAATTTACTATAAGTGAAGGTTCAATAAGTTATATAAGAAATAATTTAAAAGTTCAAAATAAGTTATATAAAAAATAATTTAAGTAAAGGTTCAGTGAGCGAAGGTCCAGTAAGTAATTTGAGTAATGGCTTAGTAAGCTATATAAAAAAATAATTTTAATGAAGGTTTAATAAGTAATTTAAGCGAAAGTTCAGTAAATAAATTGAGTAAAGGTTTAATGAGTAATTTGAGCAAAGGTTTTAGTAAGTAATTTGAACAAAGGTTCAGCAAGTTATATTAAAAAATAATTCGAGCGAAGGTTTAATAAGTAATTTGAACAAATGTTTAATAAGTAATTTTAATGAAGGTTAAGTAATTTGAGAGAAGGTTCAATAATTTGAGTGAAGGTTCAGTAAGTTATATAAAAAAATAATTTAAGCAAAAGTTTTATTATTTGCTCTGTATATTGTTATCATTAAATAGTTCGTTTATCTGTATAATAAAAATTTTTTTACTTATTTCGTCAAATAGGAGTCTCTAAACACTCCCATTTCATTTTTCAATTTCAAAATTTGATACACAAATAAGATTTTTTAAACTCTTATTTCTGAATATGCTATTTTTTTTTTTTTAATTCTGAAAAGATCAATTAAACTTTTAATTGTTACCCAATATTTATGTATTGTATGGTATGGCTATAAAAATTTTATCACATTTATCTGATAATTTAATATCCATTCAGAAACATTTATTAGCCTAAATCGTAAGCCCTGTGGATTTGCTAGCATAAATTAATTTTAAACGTTAAGAGTAGAGTGTCCAGAATTCTGCGGTTCATAATTCTGCTCGTTCTAAAAATATTTTTTGGAATTGTATTTGGTTTTAAAAAAAGATTAAAGCCACGTTTATCTTACGGAGACAATACAAAAGAATATTTCAAGAGCGAGCAGAATTATGCACCGTAAAATTCTGGACACTCTACTCTAAAAATATTTTTTTGTATTGTATTTGGGTTTAAAAAATAATTAAAGTCACGTTTATCTTACGGAGACAGCGAGCAGAATTATGTACTACAGATTCTGGACACTCCAGTTAAGAGATACAATTGGTTCTTCTAAACGATACCTGAATGAGCAAGTCACGTAATTTTGTGATGAAAAATTATTAAAAAATATCAATGTTTAACGAAGTTAGAACTACGGATGGATTGTAATACATCAATAATAATCAATACTAAGCATTACTAAGTAAAGCTATTATTTCCTGCATGAAGATGTCTTATAACAAGATTATGGCTCCATCAAGCAAAGCCCGAAGAAATATCCCTCGGGCACCATTGACATCTCTATCTATTTTTATATTACAAATTTTGTATTTATACGTTTCTGATCCTCCAATATTCTGAATGTTTTCGCACCAGCTATATGTCTTTGACGTATAAGCTTCATTTTGAATTATCACATTAATTCCTTTCTCTTTAGCTTTTGAAATCAATCGTTGTCGAAACTTGTAATGAGACCAGCAAAGCATCTTTCTAACTGTTTTTCTTGTTATCTTTCGTGTTTTCCTGTTCACCATATCTGAAACCTCAAAAGAGGGAATAACAATCATGTCAAATTCATCTGTTAAGAACTTGATTGTTTTTCGATGGATTTCTTCCTGAAGTCGTCTGATCTTTCGTTTCATACGAAAGATGGCTTTGTCAACACGCAATGCTTTCTTCTTCTTCCGTTTCGAGATTGAAGATGCAAATCTGTCTTTTTTTGATATTAGGTCATCCATGTGTTTACATAAACGAAAAATACGTCCTATATCGTATTCTCCTATCTTTCTCACACCTTTTGTTGAAGAATACCATGTGAATGGAGTACAAACTCCTGGATCAATTGAAACTACATGAACATTCGCTTGTGTTTCACGGATCTGTTTCTGTGCTTCGTATACCCAATAAAATATCCATTCATTTGTCTTACTTAGATACGTAAGTTTACAATCACAATCTATTTTTTGCAATGGCCATTTATTATGCTTTCTCTTTTTTTCAAAATGAAATGGGCACAAGTCACACTTTCTACCTTCAAAATCGTTAGGTTTGCATCGTTTTGATAATAAAGTCGAAGAATTATGAAGATGCATAACATAAAAATGATTCCAATCTTTCTTTGAAAAGTTTTGCGCGCGAATAGACATTGTTTGCCGTAAATCTTTCTTAGATTTAAATGATAAAAATGACTTTTTAGTTTCTTTTAAATTTTTTTGTATTATATTTTTTCTAGCTATTAAAGCATCATCAATACTCTCATCAATTATATTTGCAGGTACTTTATCATGTAAACCTTTAAGACATAATTCTAACCATGCAACTGTTCGTAGAAATTTACGTTCTCCCCATACACATGATCTCTGTAATTTTTTATCTTTTTCATTAGGATCTTTTCCTTCTTTTATATCTGTGTATAATTTAAGTTTTTCATTGAGTGTATGAGGTTTTATCCATTCAAAATTTTTAGAACTATTACAAAAACGACGATTTCTGTTCCATCTAACAACATTATTATAAGCATATCTCATTAATCCAAGCCATCTCTTCAAGATCTTTTTCTGAGAATGATTTGGATACGTTTTGATTTATAACGTTCGATTCACAGTAGTTTCGATTTTTCGTTTTTTTTTACTTCGTGCTTTTATTGTTTTTATTTTATATCGTTTTCCGCTCTCTTCGGTACATAGCTGATATTTTTCCCTGTATTCAACAGATAAAGATGGTGTTGATTGCAAGGATATCTTGTGATAATTCATGTTCGTCAGAACTTGATTCGTTGAAGAGAACCATGAGTTTCATAGAGTGCGATGAGAACAAATGCGAATCTTCAGAGTTGGTCATGATGGGTAACCACAATTTCTGAGACCATTCCTTTACTTGTTTGTTCCAGTAAAGTCTTAAGTCCGTTTCTTTAGAAGTTGATACCTGAACCGACATCATTAACGAACTCATAATTTGGGAATCTGGATTTAAGGATTTGTTTCTGTTATTCAAGGTCTTCTTTTTTACTTGAGGCACGTGCATATAGGAAACCTTTATTTTCAGTAACGGAGGTGGTTGAGGTATCATTTTGAGTAATCAACTCCAGTAAATAAAAAGAAATATCATAGAGACGGGTCCCAGTTGGAGATGTTTTTGCAGATATTTTTCCCTGTCTTAACCAACGTCTCAATGTATCAGATGAAAGTCTAAATTTCTTGGTTGTTTTATGAGTAGATAAATTTTTATCAATCTAATCTAATAACGATAATAAGTGTTACTGTCGCGGCCCTTTTCCGACCATGTATGGGATATGTTCAAGTCGACGGGACTATTGGGTTTCGTGCAATGTATGAACGTTTTTGAGAAAATATTTTCTTTTTTTTTCTTTTTTTTTTTTTTAAGCGAAAGAGAATCTAAGTTCTTTTTTTTATTTTTTCGGTCTTATATACATATTTTTGACTCTTAAATTAATTACATCATAATTTATACTTTGATATTTGACTCACTTCCTAATTACATAATGAATCGGTCATATAGTATTAGACTCTTATCTTAATTATACATATCTTATGTGCCTTAATTGATTCTTATTGATCTTTAGTATCGGCATAAGTACCCGATTGATCCCGGTTATCGTTCACCCGTGACTCGATTGCTAATACACATGACTTCAAGAGAACAGTTTGAACGCGGAACTAACTTTTCTTAAGTAGGGGGTTTTTTTTTTATCTTAATCCCTCCGTTCACTTTCCGATTCTTCTTCTACTGTTATCCCTCTCACCACATACTTAGGAACCCGACTGTCACCGGAGAACCGATCATAGCCACTACAGTTACTGAGTAATTCATTATGCTATTTGCCAATATGTATTACTAATTAAAAATTTAATGCGGCCCATAGACCCATAGGCAGGGATGGTGAATAATATCGATTTGTATTGATTATATATAAAACGATATTTTTAGGCCAAAGCATGAGAAATCGATATTTTCGCAAATTTTAATGCAGTGTAACAATATGCATTTGGGCAAAATTAAAAGTATAATTCGGGCCAGCAATATAAATTTGGCCAACTTGAACCGTCAATAAGTTTCGGTAAAGTAGACAATCAATAAACATGCCAGAAGAAGAGAGAGATTTTAGTTACTAATCACGTTATATCACATTATCTGTAACAGTTATACAAAGTTTTGCATTCTGATTGGCCAATCGTAGGTATATCGATATAAATCGATATTTTTGACCATACCGATCGATATTTTTGCAAAATCAAATCGATATTATTCACCGTCCCTGCTCATAGGTCCGTGAAATCATGTGATTTTATATAAGAAAAATCATCTCGTGATCTTTTATCATGAGCACTTCAACTGTAATTTAAAATTTACAAGCTTTTGTACCCTTTAACTACGAACTATTTAAAATACAAATAAGTTTATAAATTTTTTATATTTATATCTTACATATAATCTAACATTTGTGTTTAATTAAAACTATTCAACTAAATAATTATTGCTTAATAAAAATTCTAACTAGATTGCTTGGATAGTTTGATTGCCACGTAAATATCAGCATTTTGCAATTACGTTGACTTTAGGAGATCTCTATTATCAAAACTTTTTGTAAAGATGAAATTTTCTTAATATTCGCGAAGCATAAGTAGGATAAGCGAAATAGTTTTTGTTTTTTTTGTCCGGTTTACAAGAGGAATTTAATAATAATAATTGCCTTAGACACTTTTTATATTCATATGGATTTCCTTTATAAATTATGCAACGAGCATAATTATTAAAATACTTTGTAATTTCGTTAGCAGCTCCTCGATTATACCTAAGCCTAAACAATGGCGTTATCCTTTCAAAAACACAATAGTCATGTTTAAAAAGGTAATTTTCTACCGATTTATATACTTTATAATTAAAATTTCTGAAGTAGCTGCTATGAATACTAAGTTCACTTGTTAGTTTTCTCAGGTCATTTTTGATTTCTTTTTGTCTGACTGATTTACTAAATTCTTTTTGCAAATTTTCTGCTACATCAATAAGCGCATCAAGACACTCATAATCGATATTACAATGAGACTCTAGTGCTAAAGACATCTTAAATATCTCGAGTTTAGTACGTTTATCACTTTTAGCTAAAATTTTTTGAATTGTTATTTGAAAAAAAATTTGGAATAAAATTAAAAGCTGTAATTTATTAATTGAGTGGATTAACTACTTGAAATGGTATTGTAAATTTTTATTCATTTAATTACAGACTCCACACAATGTTGTTGAATAAATAAAATTAGTTGAAATAAATTTTTAATAAAGTGATTTTATCAATTTATCTTTTATGTAATCAATTAAGACTTAATTGATTACTACTTGATTATCGAGTAGAGATATAATCTGAAACTACTATCAAGTAGAGTGTCCAGAATTATGCACCACAGAATTTTGAACACTCTACTATCAAGATCTTTAGGAATAAATATTGATACTTCTAGAATCATATTACAGAAAAATTTTAATAAATTATGCCTAGTGATGGGACTTAAAATTCAAATGTTATACTCTGTAATCTATTTAAAAAATATTATGGTAACTTCATATATTATAATTGCGACAATTAAAAATCACCTCACCCATTTTTTGTATTGTTAGTCCTATCCTAAATTTCTTAAAATTAATATGCTAAATTGAATATAGTTCAATTAAAGATTTTATATTATTGGCTATAATAAGAAAAAAAGCGAGTATATTATATCAATGAAGAATCTGAATTTTATATTTATTTTGTGCATGTTGACATAAGTCGAGAAGACAGTTAGAATGGTCAGGGATCAAGTAATTCAGTAATTAATTCAAACTAATTAAATTGGACTATTAGAATCCAGAAATTTGCGGGTACAAATATTTAGTAAGATAAGCCTTTAAAACTATTATATCAATTCGATTAAATTCACACAATATAAGAATTAATTTCGAATTAGAAATGTGATCCGTTATCCGGTTTTCCTATTTAAAAATTACAGATATTTGGATATAATAATATTATTATAAAATTGAATTAACAGATAATCGGATTGCATCTTTAAATTGAATATTCATTTATCGAGTAGTTCTGTAAATTAGAATGCTGAATATTCGGAATTTTGCGGAGCAAATTAGAGTGTCCAGAATTCTGCGATGTATAATTCTGGTCGCTCTAAAAATATTTTTTTGTATTGTATTTGGTTTTAAAAAATAATTAAAGTCACGTTTATCTTACGAAGACAATACAAAATGATATTTTTAGAGCAAGCAGAATTATGCACCGCAGAATTCTGGACACTCGAGAGCAAATGTTTTAAAAACTTAGTGATGCGAACTAATCCTAATTTAAGCAAAATTAAGTATAAATAAAGGTAAAATTAAGTATAATTCTGGTCAAAATTATGCATAACTCTAGGCAAAATTGAAATATAATTACAAGCAAAATTAAATATTATTCCGGATATATCTCCAGGCAAAATCAAATGGGTTGGTACACAGCAAAACCATGCCTTGAGAGTTTTTAACCGAAATTGAGATTTTTATTGAGTTATATTCTCAATTTCTTGTAGTGCAAATTTTATTTCACATTAGCATATTACGATTTGCACAATTTCGAGCGCAGTTTTTTATCTAATCTGGTTTTTATATTCTAAATTTAGATTAATGGTTAAGTGTAATAATGAGTCTTGATTTAATAACTAATTGATCGAATTTTTCTATCAAATAATATACGTCCTAGTAACTATATCGATATGCAATATTCTAATTTTATCACATAATACCAAGTTTTGATCAATTGTTGATATCTACTAATAAAAAATTCGTCTCAAAGCATGGTTTTGCTGTGTACCAACCCAAATGGGGTCTTTGCCTTGAAAATTACCTTCCGACATTTCTGATCGGGCTAATTCAGACAAAAACAAAGCCGTGTATTTAGTTCATGTTCATATGTAAATCCCTTTCATCTTTATGGTTAAATAGTTTATAGAATAAAGTTTCGAATCAATAAAGGCAAGAAGAGATTTATATATATATGCAGGTTTGTTTTTGTCCTAATTAGCCGACCGGAAATGTTGGAAGGTGATTTTCAAGGAAAAGATCCTAAATTATAGTTTCTACTACATCACTGGCAGAAACGTTGATCACATGACCATGTCTTTACTTTAACATAGGTAGAGAGATAAGGTTATGTGAAACAACCCTTCAAGATCCATATTGATATATAATTGATATTTAACAAGCATCGATTTCAAATAACCTTATCAATTTCTTTTTTGTACTGATTCAGAAAGTAAATGTAATCCCAATTCATCATTAATAAAATCTTTCCAATTGATTATATTAAAATTATCATTAATGTTAACGTTAATTTGACAAAATTGATTATGATTTCGTGAATTAATTTTAATATTACTACACTATAATACTTTACGATAAGTAAGGTAAAAATTAAAACTTATTACGAAAATTAAAATTGATTTTTTTAATTCTGTGAAATCATCAATGCAATAAAATACGAGGAACGAATATTTAAAAGATATCTTGAACACTACTAGTTATTAAAAAGATGAAATATGAAATATTAACTATATCCACCAAAAACTGTATTTTTAAATATGTATTTTTTGGGAGATTTGCTAGGGAATTAAATGTATAAATAAAGGAATCAAGAAATAAGATATATGAGACAAATACACACTCTAACTTTCCATAATAGTAAAAAAAAATCAGTTAATATAGTATATGAACATGATAATTTCTTTTCATTTTCTTTGGAGGTAATTTTGTTATTAGTTTCATTAAATGTTGCCTTTTCATTTTGAAGTTGTTCAATTGCTTCATTGATATCCTCTTCAGAAAAAGCGAAGCCAAACATTTGAGAAAAAGATTCAGGAACTGAATAATCACCAAAATTTGGGAAAAAATCCTTTTTCGATTCTTCATCGTGGGTAGCAAGAGTTTTTAAAATTTTGGAAGAGTTTCAATATTGGTAGTCATTTTTTTTTAAAAAAAAAGTTTTAATTTATATAGCAAGTTATAAGTTTAACTTTTTCTTTGATAAAAATTGGACAAAAAGTAAAGAAAACTATTGTATAAATTAATATATATGTTGACGAATATTAGCTCATGAGATTTTAATTGAATCCAAAGAGTCAGTTATTTGACATATATAAATAATATATGTGATAAATTCGAATTTGTCATTTATATTATTTTATATGTCAAATACCTGACTCTTGAGATGTCAAATTAAAAGCCGTGAGCTAATATTTGTCAGCCCCTTAGTTAGTCATCTATTCATGTCCGATTTGTTTATTTGGTATAGAGCTTCGTATTCGTATTCGTTATTTGAGTAATATTTGTATTCGGTGAATATTCGAATAAATATTTATCTGATGAATAATTCGAATTACCTATCTTAATCGAATAAGCAAATTTTATTCATTATTCGTCATGTGAACCTTCAGTTATTGGCTGATTTACATATAGTAATGATATATGACTAGCTGGCTTCGTATCTAATAACTATAATGTTATTCGTATAAATAATCTTATTCGAATTCTGTTAGTCATTCGACGAATATTCGAATAGAAATTTGCTGATCTAAATTATTCTGGTAATATTCGAATAAGGAATCCGTAAGCTCTAATTTGATACTGTAATTTTACAAATTTAGGAAATAATGATAAAAAATTTACGATTGTTAATCAATTATGTTCGAAGAAAAACTAAACAGAATTTCGAAGTACAAATTTATTGGGTTATTCTTGTCCAGAATTCTGTATTGTCTAAAATTATTTTTTTTTAAAACCAAATACTGTATAATACAAATAATAAAGAAATTTTCAATTAACTTATTTATATTTGTCTGTAGTCATGTAATATAACTCTTAACATTTTACCGAATCTTCAGCACTTAATATTAAAGGTTAAATAGAAATGTTTATAATTAAGTGAAAAAAGATTTACTCGAGAATATAGTTGTTAGACGAAATCTCGAGGTTTCACGCTGACGAAAGATTTACCTGAGAATATAGTTGTTAGACAAAACCTCGAGGTTTCGCGCTGACGAAAGTCGAAATCTAGTTTCAACTTTTGCCAACTAAAATCTCAAATGACGAAGGTGTCGAAACTGACGAAATTGGCAAAAGATGACGAAAGGCAATAAACTGGCAAAACTGTAAAGAGTAACAAAACTAATAAAATATGAAGAAGCAGAAATCAGGTTTTAATTTTAAAAATCATTGTGAGGAGTTATTCCAAATCAAATAATAATTGACACTCTAACAACACTTTAGTTTAATTTTTACATCTAATAATAGATCATTCAGAAATCAAGCAAATCTATTAGATAAATTTGCTTTTTTGTTGATCTCTGATTGGATCGGATATTGTTATCAAGTGCAGCACAAAATGTGATTTTCTCAAAATTTTATCGATTTGTTTGACTCACCCCATATTTTAACATACATTCGTGATTTTGGCAAAAGCTCAAAAGAAGTTCGTGTTGTGTCTTCTTTTAAAATAATTTTTCTATTGGCTGTGAATACATTTCAACATGAATATTTATTTAGTATAGTAGATTTAAATAAAAAGGAAGTATCATTTATTAGCTGATTTTTTGTAAATACAGTAGTAAAATTTCTCCCCTCCCTCAAATAACATATATAATCATATATACATGTGATCTATTGACATGATATCCCCTGCAAAAAAATCAGATGATAAATGACACTTCACAAAGGTGAGGCTTTTTAATATTGAAACTTAACTGACTAATCATATGACTCATTTTAGCATCCACTAGATGCTGAAATGATATTATGTGAAATAATATGGCTTTAGCTTGATTATTGAATCAGATATAGTCAATTAGATGAGTTAAGACATCCTCTTTTATCCATATCCTGGAATTAGAGAGTTTCTAGAAATCCATGGTGTATAATTCTGCTCGCTCTAAAAATATCTTTTTGTATTGTCTCCGTAGGATAAACGTAATATTAATCATTTTTAAAAACTAAAATGCAATACAAAAAAATGTTTTTAGAGCGAGCAGAATTATGCACCACAGAATTCTGGACACTCTACTTAGAATGATGTTTAATGTTAAAGAATTTCTCATTAATAAATCGATTACTTCTTGTTTGAACTTTTTTTTTTTGATTTTTGAACAATAATGATTTTCAAGCTAATTTTAAAAAAAAAACTTAATACTTTATATCAATGTTTTCTAATACAAAAAAAAAAAAAGTTTGCATTGGAATTAATTTCTACAATTTAATTTAAGAATACATATTTGAAATTAAGTTGCTAGCTCCATTATTTGCCATTTCTGATTTAAAGAAATATAAAACTTTACAATTAAAAAAATTCAAATAATTGAATTTATATTTTATTAATTAAATATTTTTTAAAAAAAAACCAAATCTTGAAAAAAATTAATCTTGAAAAGAACTAATCTTAAAAAAAACTAAATATGGAATTACCTCCATCTTTTGATTTATTTTTGACAAGTTATCTGTTTGGAATAGGAACAGCAGTGCGTATATATTGATTAATAATTGTTTTAATATAGTAAATTTATGTAATTAATTGATTTTTATTAGTTATGTTTTTATTATTCGCTATTCTTTTATCAAAGAAGATAAAGAAAAAAGAATCAAAAACTTAATCAAATTTATGCTTAATTTTTCAAACACTTGGAGATTTATTATTCTGTTTTGTTCAAATATGATTCCTAAAAATTTGAACAACTTTTCAATAACATATTGTAATTTTGTTGCTTATTCTTTAGTTATTGGCAATATTATATTTCATATCTCTTTTTCAGCTTTTTTATTATGGCTTTTGACAACTATTGTTTTAAATAGAATCAGACTGATCAAGAACTTTAACCTTCTAATATTTTTTATAAGAAATTTGATTTCGGTAAGTAAATTAAGTAGATTTATAAATACCAAATAATATTAAGCTAATATTATAATTATAATTTTCAAATATTTAGGTTCTTATACTTGTTTATAGTAATCTGAATATTATTTTTGATACAAATCTTAAAATAGTTATTTGTAATCCTAATCAAAAAGCAGCGCCCTTTATTATTTTAACCATAGTCTTTGATTTTATAATTGATTTATATGTAACTTTATGGTTAGTTATAATATTAGTGAGAAAAAACAATCACCTTTTTTAGCAATTTTAATATGGAGCTATTTACGATTCTTTATTTATTTTTTTGCAACATATATAATGTTATTGGACTTTTTGTAAATTACTCTTCATATAGGAATTATGATGCTAGCATAAAAACATTAATTAATATAACTTTGTCTTGGCTAATAACTAAGAATCATGAAATAATAAAATATATAAAAAATAAAGGCGAGCTTACCACTTAATATTTTTAATTAATATTATTAAGGGAACGTCCATAATTTACATTAAACCAGTACGGTATTGTATAAAAATAGAGATTTTGGAGATAATTCCAAATAGTATTATTTTTGTATTATCTTTAAGATCCCTATAACAATGTCGATTTAACATAAATTATGGACGTTCCCTAATTGAAACAGAATTTTATGATAATTATTTTTCAATAATTTAAAATAATGCCGTTTATTCATTAATTGAAAGCATTATTGTTTTATGTATTCTTATTGTTTAAATAATTAAAGTGATGCAAATCAACAAAAAAAATTTTTTTGAATTTTTTAAATATATATTAAATATGAATTTAATCATTAAGTTGCTTTAAAATGTCTGGTTTATGATTTTTGCAATTACAAAATACAAATGTAGAAAAGCTCTTAAATGATTTGAACTCATCTTATAAAAATAAAAAATTCTCTGATACAAAGATAATCATTGATAAAGAGGGAAAAACTGAAACAATTTATGCCAATTCTTTTATACTTAAGATACGTTCTGAATATTTTCAAAGTGCCTTGTCAAAAGGCTAGAGTCGAGAGGTAGATAAATATTTTGTTATAAAAAAGCCGAATACCACACCCAATTCTATGAATATTATTATTGAATTTCTTTATGGCGTAGACTTCAATGCATCACATGATATGAGAACACTTTTGGATACGTTTTCGCTCGCAGATGAAATGGGCATCATGGTATTACGTGATGGATTGAAATCATATTTCATCAAAAATATTATAACCATTATGAAAAGCAACCCATTATTAGTTTTAGAATTTATTAAGAAATTTATTTTGTATGACGATTTGAAAGAGGTACTTTTAAAAGCTTTGTGTTTGAATCTGGCGCTATTATTTAATTTCGGTAACAAAGAAATTCATGAAAATATTCTCCATGAATTAATATCAAGGTCAGAGTTATGTCTGGAAGAAAACTTGTTATTAAGTAGAATGATTCAATGGTTGTTGGATACAAACGGGTTTCCAAATAAGGTATATTTAATGGATTATATAAGGTTCAACCAGATTACTTCTGATGAAATTAATGATATAATACGTAAATATAAAAAAAAGAGAAATATAAATAATAAAATACTTTCTGAGGTGCAAGAACATTACGAAAAATTCAAAGACAATAACTATGATGTCCGAGATGGCAATTTTTGCCTTAGATCTGAAATTATAGATTTAGACACAGCCAAAAAATTAATTATATGGATAAGCGGAAAAGAATATTATAAGTGTTGGTACAAGTTTGAACTTTTATTTAATATGAAGCATGATGGTTTAAAGTCAGAAACCTTTCATAAAAACTGTGATGGAAAAGGGCCCACTATAGTAATTATTAAATTACTTGATGGTGATTTAATAGGTGGTTTTAATCCATTAGATTGGGAAGGTGAGAATGTTTGGAAAAAAACTAGTGATAGTTTTCTATTTCAAAAAAATCGTCGTAGCTATAAGAAAGTAAATATTAAACCAGGATCCAAAGGGTTGGCCATTCGTTGTGGAACTGCATATGGTCTGACATTTGGAAGAAACGATTTGTGTATTCAGAATGGTTCAGGTTTTTGTATGGTTAAAGATTCACAATATGAACGTTTAAGTGTGTCAGGAAGATTCCAGATGGCATCTTACGAGGTTTTAAGGGTTATCAAACAAAGATAATATATTTATGTTTTTCAGAGGATAAATTCCAATGTACTTAATATGATAATTAAATGTAAACTTAAAAATCGTAGCTAAAACTTTATAGAGATTGGATTGACTATATTCTGACATTAAATTAACTAGAAGAATGTTTACTGAAACTTTGACCAATTCCTTCTTTAAGTATAGCTCTAAGCCACTTAAATTTTTTGATCTAAATTATCTACTTATGCCATTATCTACAAGTTTTCAGAAGGGTTAGAGATAGAGTGAGATTATTAAAATAAGTGCGGGTAAGAGAAAATGTAAATTCTAAAAATAGATGATTATGAATTTTATAGTAATCTATTTTGAGTATACATTGCGGAAATATAGCCTTATGAAATTTATGCTATGTTTTTATATAATCTTTAGAACGTTGCCCAAATTTCGAAAGGTAATATCTTTTTTGACATCAATACAAAAGGATATTTAATTTCATTCATACAAAATAATAATATTGAATACATCTCTGAGTAGGAGAGTGAGCTGAGTTCGAAATTACCGACAGTAGTTGGAAAATATATCCCTTAATCTATAAATCAAATTTGCCTGGAAAATTTTGATTATTTGTGTTATCGTACTAACAAAAATTAAAGTTAAGTACTGTATAGTTAGTGCAAATCTTACACTCTCCTATTAAATACTTTGCATATTATTTAACGCAATTATCTTAACTACTAAGCCAATAATGTTTATTGGACAAAAAAAATCAAGAAAGTAATAGGAATGTTACCAACACCCATTGACGTTGTGCAGTACATTTTCAAATTTGGCTAATGTAGCTCAGTTAATAGATATTAAATATTTTAAAAATAAAATCCTTTAGCATGAGAATGCTTTTTTCCTAATTCAAGATCAATAGAAGTTCTTCAATTAATTTTTTTTTTTTTAAAAAAAACAACCAAACCAATTAATGGCCACTTAGAACTTGCTAGATTAATAATCTTCTTTCTCTTGGAGACCAATTAGTCTTCTTATACAGTTATATGATATTATTCTAAAGTCATATAGTTTCCAACATTCCATTTCAGAAAATTCGTCCGTGGATATTAATTCCGGCTTCATTATAAATATAAATATTATTTAGCAAAAACAAACGATTTTCGAATAGCTTGAAGTTGGCAACTCTATTGCGTTAAGTAATACTTATCAATAAAAAAAAACTTTGTGAATTGATTTACTCAAACATTTCAACGATTAAATTACTTAAAATACTGCGATTTGTATCAGCTGTTCCTTGATCGTTTGAAGGATGCCTGATATTTTTATTCGAAAAATAAGCCATCGCCTTTTCATATTGCTGTAAATAACAATACATATTAATAAATGTAGTTTATTTTAAAACTACTTATAAATTAATTTACAATTGGATTTTTGTTAGAAGTTTGTTAAATGCTAAATAAAATAGATTATGTAATTTTTCAAGAGTAACAAAATAAATCAGGCCACAAGAAAAAATTTTTGTTAATTTATTTGTAAATAATTGTAAAGCTTTTAATTTAATCAGATTAATCTTGTATTGTTCATAAAATTTATTAAATTAAAAATTTTAATAATCCAATTTTTTAATGTTACTTTCAAATGCAAATTATATAATAAATGAGAATAATTTTTTAGCATAAATTTATCAAACGAGCAATAAAAAACTGACCTAGTATTTTCTTTTTTTTAAATAACAATAATGCCAAAAAGAGGTAAAGTTTATGCCATATTCTAAAACATAAGCCTATTATTTAATGAAAAAATGGTTAACTTAGTCATTATCATTTTTCACAAATAATTAAACTTATCGCTCACATAAAAGTGAAGGTATCGTGATTTTATTTCAGTATTCATTTTTTAGATAAATATTTATTTTTAAACAAATTTCATTTTTTACTTGTAGCCTGTCAAGCTTACAAATGGAAATTTGGTATTCAAATGTCCAGTACCTAAATCACTTCTTACAAAAGTTAAATACACTACAAGTGAAGAATTTACGGATATAAGATACACAGCTATCACATGTGATCCAGACGAGTTTGAAATAAAAAAATATTTAATACGACAAAAAAAATATAAGCGAGATACTGAAATAATGATTGTTATTACAATGTATAATGAAAACGATACTCTCTTTATTAAAACAATGTCTTCTGTTATAAAAAATGTCGCTTATATTTGTTCAAAAGAAAGTTGGGGAGATGAAGGCTGGCAAAAAATTGTCATGTTAATAGTGTCAGATGGTTGTAATAAAATCAATAAACGGACACTAAATGTCTTGAGTGCTATGGGCTGTTACCAAGATGGAATTATGCAAGATTGTGTCAAAAAAAGAGCTATTACTGCACATCTTTTCAAATATACTACACAATTAATGGTCGATAATGATTTTAATGTCAAAGGGAAAGACTATAGTATCCCACCAGTACAGATTATGTTTTGTTTAAAAGAAATAAATGCAAAAAAATTAAATTCTCATCATTGGTCTTTTAATGCTTTTGCTCCTCTTTTGAACCCAAATATTTGTATTTTATTTGATGTGGGCACAAAACCTTCGCAAACCTCAGTTTATTACTTGTAGAAAGGTATTCTCACTTAATTTTGTTTACAGCTGAGGTTAGCTGATGCTGATAATTGAACTTAAAACTATAATATATTTTAATGCATTTTTAATTTTTTGTATTTGTGAATTAATATGAATAGAGAATACTCCAAATCTTGGTATCAGCTAATTTCAGCATTACCTGTGACATTGATATTTATATTGAAAATTTTTTTTCAGCTTTTAATAGTGATCCTCATGTCAGTGGTGCTTGTAGAGAAATTAAAGTAGACCTTAGTCATAAATGTAGAAACCTTCTTAATCCTTTAATTGCTTCTCAAAATTTTGAATATAAAATGTCTAATATCTTAGACAAACCATCTGAGTTTGTTTTTGGCTACATCTCAGTATTACCAGGCGCTTTCTCCGCATACAGGTATAAAGCAATAATAAATGGACCATTGGAATCATACTTTAAAGGTAAGACTATGCATGGGTTAGATGCTACTAAGACTGGTATATTTGAAGCAAACATGTACCTGGCAGAAGATCGTATTTTAAGTTTTGAGCTTGTCATTAAGAAAAATGAATCATGGAAATTAAAATATGTAAAGGTAAATATTATTTACAAATTAATAATTATTTTATTTGGTCTAAATATTTACAATTCAAGTCTTTTCTTGATAATTGCATTAGTAGTCAGTATTTTATAATTTTTCAAACTTCAACTTTATTATATAATTTAGTCAGCTAAAGCAGAAACTGATGTCCCAGACAATGTGCATGAATTTATTTCCCAACATCGTCGCTGGTTAAATGGATCTTTCTTTACTGCTTTCTATTCTATTTCCAAATTTAATCATATTTGGAGATCTGGACAACCATTTTTTCGCAAAATATTATTACAAATACAATTCGTTTATAATGGTATACAATTAATCTTCAACTGGTTCTCTTTAGTAAATATGATAAATCTTTAATATTTGTAAACAAAGTTTAAGATTGATATTATTCACTTATTAATTTATTCATTACTTAAATTAGGCAAATTTTTATTTGTCATTTTTTTTCTTAATTCAGTCCACCACTTCAAATCCTGCAATTGATCCTTTCAAAGGCCATGGAGATAATTTATTTGATGCTGCACAATCGTTGTATTTAATAATTATTGTAATAATTTTCATTTGTTCAATGGGTAATCGTCCTCAAGGAACAAAATTGATATACATACTCTGTATAGTCCTCTTTGCAATTATCATGGCATTTATGCTTTACTGTTCAATTTATATTATGTATCTCACTTTATCTAAAGCAGTACCACCAATAGATTTTAAGAACCTTTCGAATATTCAAAAAACTTTAAGGAATGCAGCATTCCGTGATATCATAATTTCTGTTGTTTTAACTTACTTGCTATATCTTTTTTCATCTTTTATTCATTGTGAACCATGGCATATATTCAGCTGTTTAGTTCAATACCTTTTACTTGTTCCTTCCTATGTCAATATTATTATAATTTATGCTTTTTGTAATACTCATGATATTTCATGGGGTACAAAAGGAGATAATATTAATATTGGAAATCTGAGCGGAGTACTGCTAACTGAAGAAGATACAGACTCCGTTAAAATTAATATAATTGAAGAAGGTGAGGATAAAAATGCTGCATACGAAAATATTATCCAGAAGTTAAAAAATAAAGATCATGAAGAGAAAAAACACCGCAATGACATTATAAAGAAAGATGATTATTATAGATTGTTTAGAACAAATTTTGTTCTTTCATGGATATTTACAAATGGTTTAATAATATTTTTATTCACATCAAATACTTTTGCAAAATATTTTTCAACTCACAATTATAACCCTTATTTGGTTTTTGGTATGTTATTTATTTAAATTTATTTTAAATGATTATAATGTTTATTAATTTTAATTATTTGGTTTTAGTATTTTGGTCAGTTATGATTCTATCTGCTTTCAGGGTGATTGGTAGTGTAATATATTTAGTTCTCTGCTTTGTGTCCAGATTAAAAGGCTATTTAAATAGTTTCTTATTAATACTTTTTCATCGCGCGAGATAAATCTGATAAATCAATACATAAGAGGGAAACTGGTTATAGGAACAGTTATTGTGAATAAGTAAGGTTTTCGAGCAGCAAATATAATGATATTTGGCATAAAATTCTTAGACCAAAAAATAAAGGAGTATTTTGATGAAAATTATAAAGACCTTTACGAAAATAAATTTTAGGATCGCTAAATGTATTTGTTTTGAATATAGAAATTTATTATGTTTATTCAAATTATGTATTTACTTATTTTATTAGATCCTGAATCGGATAACATTATATTTTATAAAAATTCAATGAATTTTGTTGTCGCAAAATAACATTCATGGGAGTTATTTAGCAATGGCCCGAATTAAGCTTAATCAATTTAATAGTGCCAAAATATAGATGTTATGATCATAGGATCTTACAGACCCATGGGTCCGTTAATTCATGTGATATTACGTGCAAAACTTTCTGGGTTTGATGTCGAGTTTTGTAAAAAAATATTTGAAGCATAGATTCGCTTGTTTTGAATTTTAACTAACTTCGAATTATCATAACGATAATTTTTATTATGTAAACTTTTGTTGATTATATTTAAGAAGCTTTTAAGCAATAAGGATTATATATCCCACACCAAGATAGCTAAAAATGCTTTTCATTACGGCGAAGTATGTGATTGATAGCCTCGTATTCCGCAATCGACTTCATGTGGGTCAGAACGCGTAATCCAATTATAATCTTTTAACAGTTTTTCTCCTATTTTTTCATAGCCATTAATAATAACAAATAGCGCACATCTGGTTGCCCATAAAGTTTGAATAAATAATTTAAACTCTTCTATTGCCACTTTCTTATATGAAAATACTGCATTTAAAAAGTTAATGTTACGAGAACCAATAAATTAAATATGTGTGGCCGCACAAAAGAAACATTCCTAAAATTAGTAACATAATTATTTATTGAAATCTGCGAGAGATTCTTCATCAAGGAGACTAATCTATTGTTTATTATAATATTAACTTGCTTCTAATGCAAATCTGTTATTACAGTATGTTTGATGGAAAAAAAATTTAGTTGCTAATTTTCTAGACGCGCAAATTAATATTAAATTTATTATTATTTTAACCACCAATATTTTTTTTGCAGTCTCTATTATTATCTCTGAATAAAAATTTTTTCAATCGTATTAAAATTAATCTGTTAAAGCTAAAGATTATTGTTATCTTTTCAAGATTCGAAATATTGAACTTTCAATAACTTATAATAACATTGTTATACTTGTTAATTAGAAATGTGAACTCCAACTATTAGTTTATTGTTAACTTGTAAATTCTGGCTAGTTATAAATTTGAAGTACTTCACAATCGATAAACCCGGGAAGCTCTAATGAAAAACATACCAATATGGTTTCTTTTTTCCACTTCTGAAAAAATAATTATAGTTTTATCATAACTATTCTTGTCATAATAATTTTGCAAACCATTGGAAGAAAAGATGTTATTTTTTTTTTTTTTTTAGAATCAATGAACAATTTTTAATCCCTTTTAAGCAATTATTTTAACTAATCACCAAGCAAGCAGCAAAAAATTTTTTATTAACTTAATATTTATCTAAGCACTTAATATAATTAATAATTCATTAATGTTTCTTTGAATTATAAATCTATCAAAAATACTTGTTTTGCCTATTATATAATTTACAAATAAATCTTCCGGGACCTTTATTTGATTTTTATTCTTATCAGCATAATAAGAAAAAAACTCTCTTTTTAAATATTTGATTATTTCGTATTTATCGCAATAGTGCATGTTCGTGATAAATTTATTTGTTTGTTCTTCAAACAATTCAAATCTGTTATTGTTCTTAAAATTTTTGTATAAATTAACAACAATTATCCATTGACCTTTAGTAAAATTTGAAGCTATATTGTATAAGTCAAGATAATTTGCTTTATTAGAAATATTTTGATTCCAAATAATAAGATAGCGTAAAAATCCATCGTATTCGACTTCAAAAGTATAATATTTTGTGGAAAATTTATTTTTTAAATAATGGGTATAAAATTTTTTTTTTAAGCAAGTAAACAAATTAAAAAAATTAATATAATTTTTGTTTAGGTTTTGCATTGTCTTTTATCGTCAATTGGAAATTTCCGAATTTGAACTGTGCAATTTTTTTCAATTACAAAAAAAGCTTGTAATTAAATTCATTACGCAATTTTCTGATCACACACCATTTTATGCTTTTATGTAGACCTATAATTAAGCCAATTTTTTCTTTCCAATAGGAGTTTATTTAAGTGATATATAACTTCTTTGAATTCTTAATCAAATTTTAAGCTTTCAAAATTTGTATTTACTCAATACAATATATTTAGCGAATTTTGTATTTTTTTAATAAAAAATATTTAAAACAATTAAATAAATTCATTTTAAAAATTTAGTATACATTAACAACCCCAACAGAAAGAATACAATGAAATAAAGCGATTTTCCACACCAGTAAAGATTGTTAGATCAAATTGATCACACATGTAATTTTGGCAAAACTAGCAAGTCTATTGAACGCATAAATAAAAAAATTAAATCTCCTTATTTGAACAAGCTTATTCATGAAAAAAATCAATCACGAACAAAGTAATTTTGTGATAATTACAAATGATATAATTTTTCGATATGATTATGAATTAATCAAATTGATAATAAAAGGTATGTTGAAATATCAGTAGCCATTCATTAACACTCGTAAATAAAATATTAGCTGAAAACTTTGAAGACTTTGCAAGTTTCGAATTACTGATTGAACAGATTCACCATATAATAAAGATACAATAAATGTTTCTATTAATATCTATTCACAAATTAAATAGCAATAGCCATTATTTAGTCATAAATTAATCATTCATCTTTGTACGGTAAATATTAAACATTTAAAATATTCCAATAATGCAAATTGATTTCAGTTGATCCAATTTAACTCGTATATTTTCACTTCTTTTTTTCTTAGTACTATATATGAGGCAGCTATAAGTTAGATTATTTAGTTTAGTGTTATTTCATGATTAAAATATTAAAAAATGATTCACCTTTTTTCAATAATTTGGCATTGCTCATTTTATAGAAAGTAGCCGGGGTTGTCTTTGAGCATAATAAAACCCTGTATAATTCGTTTACATCTTTCTTCTCTTCTTCTACTTTAATCTTACTAAAAAAAAAAACAATACGTGTTTTAACTAAATAGCAATTTAATAAAATAAGCACTCAAGTTTAGGGTGTCCAGAATTCTGCGGTGCATAATTCTGCTCACTCTAAAAATATTTTTTTTGTATTGCCTCTGTAAGAAAAACATGACTTTAATCACTTTTTAAAAACTAATACAATACAAAAAGATATTTTTAGAGCGAGCAGAATTATGCACCGCAGAATTCTGGACACTCTAACACACACATTAAGTTGAAAAAATATTTTCAAAACCAATTCAAGAGTTTATTCAGTTCTAGCCCACAAAGAATGTCGACTTCAAAGAAATATATGTTTGCCAAAAAAGATTCACGCCCAAGTTCTTTGCAAACTCATATAAAAAATGAATTGATTTTCGTAAAATACGATATTGCATAGTACATTCTAATCTTTTGAAATTTCTTAAACAGCATTCAAATGTCCAGTTGAAGGTTGTGGTCGACACTTTTCAGTGTCAGTAATCTTCGTCGTCATCAGAAAATTCACTCAAAAAATGAACTACTCAGTTGTATTAGCGCAATTATACCCATTAATTTTCTTGATCAATGTAAGAGAACATCGTACACATTTCTATTTTCCAACCATAGTAAATTTAAATTATTTAATCTTTAGAAAGTACTGATATAAAATTTTGAAAAGCTTTATTAAAAATTTGAGTTAAGTATAGTAAAGATTAAAGTAGTTAGGGCAAGAATCCCCATTTTCTAGGTAAATTTTTAATCAAATCGTGAAATTTTTACGAAAACAAAAAAAAAAATTAACAAAGCCGAAAAATGTCAAGAGATAGTTTTAACTACTACACACTTTTACACCCAAATTTATTAAAATAATCAATGATTATAAGGTGAAGGTGTGTAAGTTGTATAAATGAAAGGTGTAAAATAATTGTAAAGTACATCATTAGCATAAGAATAATTAGGCACATAAAAATTAGAATAATTATTAGGTACATATACAAAAAAATTAGGTTCATATGAATAACGATAATAAAAATAATTCGGTTTATAAAAATAATTAGGCACATGAGGTTTGTTATAATTAGCACAATATAGTATATTTTGAACCTTTTTTGCAATTTCTGACACTTTATTATATATTGGTTTTATTTCATAGACCTTAATGTTTTTCCATAACATGAAATTACCTTGCCACAACAGCTTACTGGCCATATCGATGTTTTTTCGATTCCATGCAGTAAAATCTTTTTGAAAAATCATAAAACTATTGGGATTGGGCTTTTTCCAGCCAATAAAGGGGGCAATTAATTTTACTAAAGGAAGAAAGGTCTTGGATTCAAGTTCGTTAATTTCTTTAATATTAAAAAACCTTTTAACTATATTTTCAATTTTTTTAAATTGAATTGCCATCATCAAAAAGTAGTTGAATGTGATTGAAAATTTGAAACGTTATTGATATTAAATTTTTTCTTTATAAAAGTAATTAACTTACGTCATCTGAAAATTATATTTATTTAGATTAGCTGGTTACTGTATTGTATATTAATTATATTTGGTTTTTATTTTTTAATTGAGCAAGAAAACTTGTAATGAGGTCTATTTAGAAATATTCTCAGAGATCAAATTTTATTGTTCAAACAAAAAAGTTAATATCGATATGTACATCAAAAAATGATTGTTCTATAAATTAAGTACAGATTTACAGTATCCAAAACTTATTTCCAATGCTAATTTAAATAATAAAACAGCGGATCGCATTCCTAGTCCAGAGTTTGAATTTAGATATGATTGGCACAATTGAAAAAAATTTTTTTAATTTATATACCGATACGCTTTCCAAATAAATACATTAAAAAAAAAAACAAAGTGGAAGTTTTTTTAGAAACAAATTTTATATGAGATCGAAGATATCTTGCAATCAAATAGTTTTAGATTCGCGTGCTTACATACAAAGCACATTTCAAAGTAAAAAAGCATCGTGATCATAAATATTTGAAACATTAAAAAAAAATGCATTATTTCTAATTTATATTACGACATACCCATACTGTACATCGCATATAGAACCTCTTAATCAAATGTACTTAAAAGAAATATTAAAGAAAACACGCCCTTATGTTAAACTGGCATGTACCAGCTGTCGAAGCATAAAAAGAAAATGTTCTGGTGAGATAAGATGCACATATTGTAAGCAGCATAAACTTGAATGTGTATATGTTAAATCGAATAGAAAAAGAGGCCCTAAACCCAGGTCTACTAGAAAACTCATTACTCCAGCGTTAGCAAATTTATTAAACCCAGTTATTTAATCTATTGCTAAATTTGCCTTCTATCTTAGTGAGTTAGAGTAACCACAATTAAATAAATAATTTTTTTTGAAAATTTGAGGTGCCCCATTTTTGTCAAATTTTCAAAAATTTTTTTATGTTTTTTTGCATAGATAACTTTTTGTAGATAAAATTAGTGCAAAAATAGGCCTTAATTGTATTGAAAAGCAAAGTAGAAACCAGTTTCAACTTTGTTCATATAAAGAGCAATTTTCATGAGCTTATTTAATCCAAACTCTTTAAATATAATAATTTCAATTTTTGGTTCAAAATATAATAAAGTTATATTTTGATAAATCTTTTATACTATAAATATTGGGTTTCGATATACTAATTATCTACTGATTTTACTTTACTAAACCAAAATACTTTTACATCCTTATTAATTGTCAAAAAAATTTATTGCTTAGTTTATATCATAATAAAATATTAGTTTATAAATCCAATTTATTTAATATTTTATTAAATAAAAATTTTAAAAAAAAATGATAAATTTATATTCAAATTAATAAAATTTTATAAAAAAATTTAATTTAATTAATCTAATTATTCGAATAAAGTCATTGAAATAACAAAAAATTATACGTAAAAAATATCAATATAAATTAATGCCAAATAATATAAAAACCGGTTTTTATTTTATAAAAAAATTTAATATTCATTTTTAATAATTTCAGAATGAGGTATTTATTGTCGTTTTACAAAAACTAGTTTTTATTAATTGCATTTATTTATTATCGAGTCATTGAGTTTGCTATAAAAAGACTCTCTTATTCAATGTTTAATTTTTTTAATACCTTGTTCGCTATCAAATAAAATTCAAATAAAATCGAATCATTGCTTTTTACAATATTCACTAAAAAATGCCTAAAGTCAAAAAACCAAAAAAGTCTCAAGAAGATAAATTAAACGGCATCCGTACAACAAGACGTTCAAAAAGATTAACAATTTCATTTTTAGGAAGCACCGGTATAAAGTCAACTATCGAATTTGGAGAAATTATTAAAGAATCAGATGATCAAAAAGAATATGATCACACTAAATTAACATTACGACATTCCTATAAAGAAGCAAACTACGACACAACTATTAATCTCAAGCAAGTAACTTACAACAAATTTAACAATAAATTTTTTGCCAAAGAAGGAACCGTTGAATATCTTATTACCAGAGACAATAATGAGATAAAAAAAGAATGCCACAAAATGGAAAACCTTACTATAGAATTTACTAAAACTTTTACAAGATGGAAACCCTTATAGACTTTACTAAAAGCTAAAAATTCGACATTATCTATTAAAAAGAGTTTCGACAATTAAGAATCAACTTATTTTTTAACATCATTATTCCCATCATACGCGTACTAGCTTTGTTTTGTATTTCCTGCAATATAATTATAAAAAAACTTGTTTATTGTTTAAACAAAAGGTAGATATTCTTAATCTCTTTAATTTTGTAAATAAGAATTAATAAATATAAAAAAAGATTGATATTAAATTTTTTTCATTTTCTCGAAACCTAATTTTTCGCATTTTTCAGCCAAATATTATATATTGTAATCTTTGAAAAACTTTATAACACGTTTTCAAGAAATCCGACTCGTCTTTGATAAAATTCGACCAGACTTTTGTAAGGATCGGTGTTAGTGGCTCTAGTAATTTTCTTAGCATATTTACGTCCCATTTTTTTCATTCAATATCTCTTTTTATTTTTCCAGCTTTATATATTTTTGTTAATACTACAGATATAATATAAATAATTTATATTTAAAAATGTAATGAATATAAAATAATATATGGGTTACTTTAACGGGCGTACGTAAATATTGATTATTAAAAAAGTTAATTCCGGCTGGAAATTAATAAACAAGTGGGCTAAAATAGAGAACCTGTTTGCAGCAAATAAACTTGCTATGTGATAGGCCGTCTCGAAATTGATTATCAAAATCATATCTGATAGTACTGATTCCTTTTCTGATAGAAATCACATCCGCATACTAACTCTACTGTTATATAAGAATGTAATAAAGATCATGTGGAAACTTTTAAATAAAGAGAAAGCCGAATTTTAGGAGTCATATTGAAAAAAATCCAAAGTGAATTTCTGCTTAGTCTTTAAACGCCAGATTCAACAAGGATATTTGCTGGGCAACGAGTTATGTGAAATAATTCAATCATCCAGGTGCCAATCTGATTTTATTAAACTTAAAAAAAAAATATAAGTTATATTAATATACACTTTCATATTTTAGGAAAACTTTCACTTGACTCACCTAGTAATAAATATTTGTTTGACGTATAAAGAATTACTAGAATATGAAAATATTCAAAATGACTAGAAAATTCTATTCACCAGATGCATATTAAATTTTACTCATATAAGATTTCTCTATTTTTTAAGAAATGGTGATGGGGGGATTTGGAACAGTGTACAGATCAAAGTGGAAATCTAGTGAATTAATAATTGCACTTAAAAAATTAAAAGATTATTTGGATCAGAAAATTTTCTTATTCACATTAGCAAATTTATTACTGTATTAGATCTAGCGCTAGTGGTATTTTAAATTAATAATAATATTTATTATATATTACAAATAAAGCACAAAAGCTACGTCATCTTAGTTGGCAATTGATGAATTTTTTTTCAGGTGTCTTCGTTCGCCAAATTATTGCTTTATAGTATTTAAGTTTTTTTTTAATTTCATATCTATTATATTTTTTCATAATGCCATAAATTAGTATCGATCTTTAATTTTGTCTAAATTTATATCGATATTATAATTTTGCCTAAAATTATATTTTAAATTTGCCTGAATTTATATTTAGCTTTCTCCAGAATTATACTTAATTTGTATTTGATTTTCACCCTTACTCATCATTTGTGTAACTTTGATTTTTAATCTTATCGTTATATCAATCTACAACTTTTCTAGCTATTACGTATTCATGCTTGAGACTTGTTTTTAATAATGCAAAGAAAAAGGGGTAACGATTTCGATATTAAGTATGTGGTAGTTTTTTAATTTAAAAAAAAAAAAAATGTCTCACATTAACTTTGATATTGCTCAAAAGTCGCCGCGAAAGAATGGAAAGAATGGCAAAGGTTTTGAAGATAGAATTAGAATTATTTTTATGAACTTGTATATAGAATTACATAGATTTGAGTGAGTATTCACTGAGTCATTGTCTAGTTGTTATGTAGCTGAAGTTGCGCTGCCACTAGATGTAAATCATGAGAATGAAA